TGACAAATTGTCTGGTCTTCGCTACGAAATGGACTTGGAAACAGCACGTGCAAATTATCCAAACAGACTAGAGAGGTTAGAAGAAGAACGTCTTATGGACATGCCTTTCGATGTTAGTGAACCTCAAGTTGAAGGACACGACGGCTTTGCCAGATTCTACTGGAAACATGACGAACAATTGCATCCTTTGAGAAGGAAAAAAGGAAAAGGTGAAGACACACATGCTCCCATGGAAAGAACAAGATATGCATATGAGAAGTACCGTGAAGTTAGAAGTCAAATTACATCTGGTCGAACCTTTACAGTAAACTTTGACGAAGGAAAGAACAAAGAAGGCTTCATGGGTGTACTTGCTGCCATACAAGACGGAAATAAGAAAGGACACAATCGCAGATTGACCATAACAGATTTGGACAGTCACATTTACTATGCACATGGCAATGTCACAACAGCCGCACAACTTCTTGACGCTTTCAAGACTACAAAGAGAGAACAAATGTTTGACTCCGACTCAGACATTTTGAATGCAATTGAAGGAATTGCAAGCGTGAAGTTCGAATGGTATCAACCTAACCCTCAAGCAGTCAGACAACATGCTGGGTATTTCCCGTTCAGAAATAAGTCTGACATTGACGAACGAAGAAGGATACAACAAACTCATTGAAATGGGAATGGTCGGTGAAAAGATGGGCTGTTTTAAGCTAGATAAGGTATTTTCCGAAGTTCATGTCCTCTCCAAGCGTAAGTACTGGGGCATACTTGAAGACGGCACAGAAGTAAAACATTGCATGAAGTAAAACATTGCATGAAATAAAAACGTTTTTTCAAAAAAATATTTTTTTATTTTATTTGAAATGTACGCTGAGTTTGTTGGAGAAGACCGTTGGGAAACTTGTTTGTTAGATGAGAAATATGAAATTCACTGTTGTGAGTCATTTGAAGTCAGAAACAAAAAGACAAAAAGAGTTTTAAGCGAATGGGAGCGAAATGACGGATATGCTATTATGAATATGAGTGGGAAACGCTATCTTAAACATATTGTCATTGCAACTCATTTTATACTGAATCCTAACAATTTACCTTTTGTAGACCATATAAACCATATAAGAAACGACAATAGACTTGAAAACTTACGTTGGGTCACTCGTTCTGAAAACAATAAGAACAAAAGCAAATTTGGAGATATTGTATTCGAATTTGTCGACGAACTAGAAGATGAAACAATTGAAATTACAGACTATGGCAAGCATACGTTTGAGTTTTACTACTATAGCGAAGAACAAGACTCTTTCTACTTTTATACCGGCGTAAACTATAGGAAATTACAAGTATATTTTACTAAGGCGGGCTATGCTTATGTAAACACTAGAGATACAGATGGAAAAAACGTTACAATACTTCTTAACAAATTCAAGAAGCTATATGGCATACCATTTTAAAACGTTTTTTAAACCATATATTTTTACATATATTAAATGCTTCAGGTTGAAAAACAAAGAACAAAAGTAGCAGATACAAAACCGTTAGACTATATCTTTACAAATGCTGGTAGAAATATTTCAGATGAAGAAATTTCATCCCGAACATACAGGTTCGACTATCCAATTCGTTGGCTTCAAAGTCCTTCAGATGCAAAGGCAATAGGATTTAGAAGAGTTTTGTTTTCAAATAGAACTAACGCGTTTATGTTCGCAGTATATTTTCATGGGCAGTATAAAGGTCCTGACGGTCTACTAGACAAATTTGATGAAATGAGAATCTTTACAGTTCGTTCAGACGAAAGTCTTGAGAAAACTCTAAATGACTTTCAAACTCAAATAAACAAATACTACTGGGAATTTCAAGAAAAATACGACTCTTTACTAAATGGAACATACTATCTGAAACTAGAATATGACAAGATGAACTCCACCGTTTCATTTCAAAAGATTGAAATTAACCCTCCAAGAGATACAGAGTTTTTATTTTGGAAAGTAGACAAACGTTCTTGGGCACAATTTCTTCGGTTACTAAACCAGAACGAACCATTACCACCAGATGGTCCATTTCAATTTATACCTCCACCAGCAGATTTGACAGTTTATAGAAACGTGTTTGACCCTCAAAATGTTATGTGCCATGCAAGTTTCAGTTCAAGCAACAACAGTTTTCTTTGTATCGGTAAGGACTTTTATGACTTTGCTTCTAAATTCTACGAACCACCTAGTAACAGTTTCTCTGACTTTCAAGTTTGGTTCACAACAAATGGTCTGCAGCATATTATACCATTGTACTATGACTTTTATCTCGAATTGTCTTTCATATACAACTACGGAAAAGTGCTGAAAAAGTATTGAAAAAGTATTGAAAAATGAGTTTTGGTTGAAAAAAGAGGTGGAGCCAAAAGTGGCTCGACTTCAAAACAAGCATTTTGTGAAGAATATACCAACCGCCGGAATTCCGGCGGTTGCTTTTTATACAAAATTCAACAGGTGAATTTTCATGAATTTCCTTAAGACAGAAAAAATATATTTTAGGTGTCACCAGGTCCCCAGGTCCCCAGGTCAATTTAACTTCTCTGAAAAAATGAGACAACATGACATTTAGACAACAACACAGGAAATAGACTTCTTCGTACATGTTTTGTTGAGACTTCATCGTATATGTTTTGTTGAGACTTCATCGTCAATGTTTTGTTGAGACTTCATCGTATTCTTTCACCCGTTGAATTTTGTATAAAAAGCAACCCGCGGAATTCCGCGGGTTGGTATATTCTTCACAAAATGCTTGTTTTGAGGTCGAGCCACTTTTGGCTCCACCGTATTTTTCAACCAAAACTCATTTTTTTCGGCAAAAATATATTTTAGGTGAAGTGGTGAGATCTCAGAACTAGTCTTGTACTGTTTCAAGACAATATTTGTACTGTTTCAAGACAATGTCCGACGGTTAAGCCACAAACGAATGTCCGACAGTTAAGCCACAAACGAATGTCCGACGTACCACCCAAAAATATTTTTTATTTTTATTGTAAGAACTGAAATGACAGTCGAAGCAAAAACGTTCACGAACAAATCTAATGGCGAAACATTCACAAAAGGCACTTACAACGGTATTGAAGTCTTACGTAGAGACAAGGATGGTTATATAAATGCAACAAAGATGTGTCAGCAGTTTAGGAAAGACTTTAGAAGGTTGTTGGAAAATAAGTCCTGGGAAGAGTATTTTAAGGCATTTTGTGAAGAATATACCAACCCGCGGAATTCCGGCGGTTGCTTTTTATACAAAATTCATGCAGGAATTCCGGATGAAATCAAACAGGTTAGAGGAACGTATGTAGACCCAAGACTTGTAAACTATATAGCAATGTGGGCTTCTCCAAAATATTGCATAGCAGTTGGAAAAATTCTGGACTCCATAGACAAGAAAGTTCATGAGAAATTAGATGAAGAAGAACTTGAAGATACAGTAGAGAATGCAAAACCTTTGTTCGAACAAGAAGTTAGAAAAATGTGCGAAAAACAAATAGAACATGAACGTGAGATATGTTCTGGTTATAGAGATTCTCCATACGAACTAGACCAATGGGAACAAGAAGATTTAAAGAGAGAATTTAGAGAATATGAACTCGCTAAGATAGCATTAGAAGCTGCAGAAGAGAGGTTAAAAGTTTGGGGTCGTTTTGTACAAAAATATTGTGAGTAAATGAACCATTTCTTTTTATTGAATTCGGCAAAAATATATTTTAGGTGAAGTGGTGAGATCTCAGAACTAGTCTTGTACTGTTTTTTCACCCGTTGAATTTTGTATAAAAAGCAACCCGCGGAATTCCGCGGGTTGGTATATTCTTCACAAAATGCTTGTTTTGAGGTCGAGCCACTTTTGGCTCCACCGTAGAAAACACACAAAACTCATGAGTTTTGTTGTTCTCGGACCAAAAAATATATTTTGGGTCATTTACACTCATTGACGAAGAAGTCTTGACAAAACATTTACGAAGAAGTTTATTTCCTGTGTTGTTGTCAAAATGTCATGTTGTCACCATTTTCAAAAAGATGTTAGTTGACCGAGTGACCGAGTGACCTGGTTCCACCTAAAATATATTTTTGCTGAAAAAAATGACCAAATTTCATGAATTTCCTCATATGTTTGCGACCCTCGGAAAACCGAGGGACGAGATTCCGTACGAAAATCGTGAAAAATTGCGAGTACGTAAGAAATCTTACTCGCCTAAAACACATGAAAATCGTAAAAAATTGCGACCCCGACTTTTCCCGGGGTCGCCTAAAACACATGAAAATCGTGAAAAAATGACCAAATTTCATGATATAACTGTATTTTTTTTACGAAGTGAACTTTGACACTTCGTCAAAAAAATCCCTGAAATCATATCTTTTATACAAGATAGAAAAACCGAGGGTAGAGATTCCGTACGAAAATCGTGAAAAATTGCGAGTAGGTAAAAAACCGGGGTCGCCTAAAACACATGAAAATCGTGAAAAATTGCGAGTAGGTAAAAAACCGGGGTCGCCTAAAACACATGAAAATCGTGAAAAATTGCGAGTAGGGAAAAAAACCCAGTCGCCTAAAACTCATGAAAATCGTGAAAAATTGCGAGTAGGGGAAAAACCCCAGTCGCCTAAAACACATGAAAATCGTAAAAAAATGACCAAATTTCATTATATAACTGTATTTTTTTTGACGAAGAGAACTTTTGCACTTCGTAAAAAAATCCCTGAAATCATATCTTTTATACAAGATAGAAAAAAAAGTTAGTTTTATTTTTTTTTATTTTTTTATTTTGTATGTAAGAACAGAAAATGACAAACACTGAGTTTGAAACAGTTAAAAAGATAGACAATGACACCAAAGTGGTTAGAATTGGTGATTTAAACGTAAGATACTCAAAGAAATACAAGAAATATTCTTTGTCAGACATTTTAACACTATCTGAAGGAAAGAAAGCACACGACTGGGTTAAAAATGCTTCAACTCAGAAAATTTTGACAAGAAATCCTGAGCTGATGATATCGGTAAGATTCTATGGAACAAGAGCATATCTTATAGACAAAAGTCTTATACCAGTAGTTTTGTTCTGGATTGACCCAGTTGTTGGATATAATTTCATAACATATGGTTCATTCGATACTGAACGTTGCAGTGAAGGCTTACTTTACATCGTTCAGAAACCGAAGGACTTCAATACAAAGAGATATAAGATAGGAAGAACATTTAATATAACTCAAAGATATGACAGTATAGTCAATAGAGTCAAGGTTGCGTTTGTTAACGATATGAGAGCTGCTGAAACAGAACTACTTGAAAAGTTTGAGAAAATGTATGGTGCTCCCACGAAAGGTAAAGAAACGTTTGAAGTAGATGAGATCGACAAAGCTATAAAATTATTTGACGAAGTTGCTGAAAAATACATGTAAAGCGTTTATTTTTGGTCTTTTATACAAGATAGAAAATAACGCTAATTTTATTTTTATTTTATTTTTTATTTTGTATGTAAAGACAGATATGACAACAACAGAGAACACAACAACTGCTATCGTTCATGAAGATATAAATGAAGAATACGAGTACATACAGTATAACAAACAGTTACGTCTCATTCGTTCGGTCAAAGATGACATGTACCAAATGCAAAGTATTTTGAATGCTCTTCGTTCTACAAAGCAAGCATACCATTGGTTTGAAAACCAACAGACAAAAGAACTTTTAGAAGAATTTCCTCATATGTTTGCTACCCTCGGAAAACCGAGGGTAGAGATTCCGTACGAAAATCGCAAGAATTTGGCTCCTGGTTTGAGAGGTTGGTATGTACATAGACTTCTTGTAAATGCTGTTGCAATGTGGGCTTCACCTCGCTATGCTTGTTATATTTTCATGATGTTAGATGAAATTCATAGACAAGAACGTGAAGAGATGGAAAAGAAACTTCAAGCAAAAGATGAAGTCATTGAAGCAAAAGACAAAAACATACAGAAAAGAATACCACGTTCGGTACCAAAAGGAAAGGAAAAGAACTATAAGTATATGATTTATACTGAAGAGATGGAAAATGAAGAAGACAGAGATATGGTTATGTTGCATTTAGTCAGAAGAAACAACAAAAGCTTTTACGACCTTGCTAAGATTTACAAATCTGACAGAAATTGGTTCTATCGCGAAAACTTACCGATTTCAATGACACCGAATGAAGATGTGAAACAAATAGTTCAAGATGCTTTACCTCAAACACACTATGATATGAAAGGTTGTACAATACTTACATTCAAAGAAGATTTACCATTGTTAAAGGAAAAGATAACAGAGTATTTTGACAACTTCAAAGAGGAAGAGTAAATGAACCATTTATTTTTCAAGCTTGACACCAAAGATGGCTCAGGTAGCTCTAGATGGTAAATTGTCTTGTCAAATCCTTCTGGCATTCCGAGTCCTTCCTTCCAACAGGAAAAGTCCTTCCTTCCGACAGGAAAAGTCCTTCCTTCCAACAGGAAAAGTCCTTCCTTCCAACAGGAAAAATTTTTCTTTCCGACAGGAAAAGTTTTTCTTTCCGACAGGAAAAAAATTTTCTGTTGTCCGTCCGTAAACCATTCAAATTTTCGAAAATTGAGAACTTTTTGGTCGAACTTCAGAAAAAGTTTTTCCTTCCAACAGGAAAAATTTTTCTTTCCGACAGGAAAAGTTTTTCTTTCCAACAGGAAAAGTCCTTCCTTCCGACAGGAAAAGTCCTTCCTTCTGGCATTCCGAGTCCATTCCAAAGCCAGAAGAACCGAAAGCTGCAGAACCACAACAGACTAAGACTAAAACACTTACATTTTCAAGCTTGACTTTTTACAATTTGAACTTTGTTCGCGTAGATATGAATTCTGAAAGAAGTATGAGGGTCTTGTATGACTTTGTACTTCTCCCAGAGTTCATGTCTGTCAAACTTACCTGCCATGGACTCTTTCATAAGTTCCATGAAATCGTCTTCGGACAATCCGGGGAAAAGTATGATATCAGTAAGTATTCTCTTTACATCCTTACTTAAACTCTTGGCTGTCTGTACACAAATGACAACTGAAATGTTAAAGTGTCTGAGCTTCTTAAGAATTCGACACATGTCTTGTTCTCTATTCTTTAACAAAGGATGAGAAGCAAAGTCATCTAAGATAAGAAGACATCTATGAGGGTAAGTCTTCCAATCGTAAGATTGCAATTTCTTCGAAATGTATTCTATCTCTTTCTGTTTGTTTCTGAAGTGTTTCTTCTCTAATATTCTCTGCATTTCCTCATTTGGGTCTTTAAACTTCGATTTATATATCATTTATAGCATTGTACTTCAAAACTCTTCTTTGGTACTTCTTTATCCAATCTAACAACTCAGAGTCTTTTATACATACTAACTTAGACTTTTTTATAATATTTTTGAACGAATTTACGGTTTGGTCAAATTGACCAGAAGTACTACAAATGACAACTAACTCATAGAATGGGTTCTTCTCATCTAGTTCTTGTTGTTGTGCAGCCATTTTAAGATAAGTGAAAGTCTTACCCGACCCAGGCGGTGCAATTAGACCTGTTATACCATTCTGAGCAAATAAGAACTTGTCATGTATGGGTTTTATCTGAGCATTTTCCAACTTCCTCTTGTTCTTATTTAAAACATTCTCAAATTTTTTGTCAATGTCAGCAAACTTTTTTTCTAACATATTTTTAGAAAAATTAAAAATTTTATCTTTTAGAAAATGTCTAGCGATTTCGCCATCTATATTCGAGACAAGCTTTTCGACAGCAAAACATCTGTCGACCATAAAATCTTACATAGTGTAAACAAGAAAGGTGAATTTGTTCTAAAGTTCTGTTTCTGGGAATATGACAAGAACCATAAAACATTAAGCAGAGCAGTCTTAAAATTTGTCAATGACAGACTTGTTGACAGAGCTGACGCCTCTTGGAGAGATGAAGTCCAACAAAACTTCTTAGAATGCAAAGAAGACACATGCGCTGTTCTTGAAGATGAAATAGAAAACAGAATAGAAGGCTATTAAATGACAAAGCACTTTTACAAAATATGGTTCTGAGAAGTTTGACATAACTCCACCAGAAAAGAAGAAGAGAGAAAAGAAAGAAAAGAAAGAGAAGAAGAGAAGAAAAACCAGAGCCAGAGAAGGGGAGATATGACATGTAAAAATAAAATTTTATTTTTAGAACATTTCTGGGTCAATGTCAATGTTCTCTTCCTCTTTAGGAGCACACTGGCTTAGACTCAAATCTTTTTACCCAACTTACCTTGAACTTCAACTATCTTAGACTCATTATTCATAGTCGTCTGCTTTCTTTGGTTCATAAGGTATAACAATTGTATGCTTTGCCTTCTTTAAGGTTTGAAACCCTGTCAAAACTTTCTTTGACTGTTAACAAACCTTCTATGTCTAGTCTTCAAATTTCGCACCATTTTTAGTCACAATAGCAAACTTAACTGGTTCGATGTTCCAAACTTTGTCAAATGTAGACTTTTCAAAATGGTAGAAGTAAACATTCAAATATGTGAATGGGTCTAGTTCTTCTTTAAGTCCTGACATGTACTTGTTGACTGAGATGAATTTCGTCATCTTTCCTATCGGATAAAAAAATATTTTTTTTTAAAATTTACTCAGAAAAATTTTTCCTTGTATATACCATTCTGTACGTCTAAAAGACTTTTTGACATTTGCCAAGAATGTTCGTTTAGACGCTGCCATATAACCATACTCTTGACAATACTGTTTATACGAATCGTACAATGACCTTTCATCTAAACACTCAAAGTCAGTTTCATCTATGAACAGTTCATATACACTCTTGTTTGCTTCTAACAATGTTTGTCTCTCTTCGGTATGTGGAATTTGTCTTGGATTGAACTTAAAATATCTAATGTCATGAATATGAGAACAAGTGGTTGTAAAAGTCAGATGTCAAAGTTTCTGACCAAAGCGTCAAAATATTCTGTATCTTGCATATGAGAATCTGACGTTCTGACAACTACATATCTTCTGTCAGAACTTTCTAACTTCATCGGAACGGCATTGTTTGAAACCATGACGAAGTTTGCAACATTTTCACAAACTCTTTGGTCTCTATACTTTCTTTCAACAACTCCAACTTTGTCTGTTATAAGACTCTTCAAAGCATCTGAGTTCAAAACTTTTGTTGTATCTATACTTTGAAGTTCGATTACATACTATAAGTTTCATATTCTCTATTGAAGAGTTAAATTTACCGCAGATGTTTTCTAAGTTTGTCATATTAGGTTCGAATAGCCCTCTAACAGTTTGCATAAGATATCTGTAAAGAAAGTGTTCTTACCTGTTCCTTGTTTTCCAATTAAATGAGAGCAGTTTCATTTTTAGCACTTGGATGTTGTAAGATGTTTGCAAACCAACATAAGATATACTCATAGACTCTTTCGTTTCCATTGCATAATTTCTTTGACATGGTCTAACCAAGCTTCTATAACATTTTCTTTCCATTCTACTTGTTCGTATTTATATCCAGTTGAAGATAGAATAGAAGTTTGGAGAAGGTGTATAAAACTTTATACCACGAACTGAAAAATCTTCTAACTTTGACAATAAGATATCCCAAGCATCTAACATCTTCATTCCAACTTGTACGACTTTTATTTTCTTAAGTTTCTGTTTACATTCTTGTTCTGAAACTATTGTCGCTTTGGTTTGTTAAAGTACATCCCATTCTTTCATGACATAACATTCTGGGGCAGAGTCGACATAAATGACTAAACGTTTCAAATTCTCGACTGCTTTGTTATAGTCTCTAAATGGACACATATTTCTGAACGCTTGGAAGTCATAAAAATCTGAAACATCTATTCTGTACATTTTTATAAAAATAAAAAAAATATTTTTTTTATTCTTGACTTTGTTGTTCTTGAGCTATTTGTTGCATTTGTTGCATTTGTTGTTCTTGAGCTATTTGTTGTTGAAGTTGTTCTTGTAGTACAATACTTTCACCAGTTGCATCTTCCAATTCGAAACTTTCTGCCGTCATTGACAAATACATAGGACATAAAAGTTTTACAGGAACAAAGTTTGCGTCAACTAAGGTTAAGTTTATGTTTGCTAAAGTGTTTGAGTTTACTAAAGCTGAAAACTCTGCATTCGAATGAACAATAGGCAAACCAGCAGAGAAAGTGTTGTTTATACGCATGAGTATCTTTTGGTCATAGTAGTTTCTGTCGACATTCGAATAGCACTTTGAACCTAAGTTTGAAACAATATATAAAATAGGTGTACTTAAAGTCAATGGAATAGATAGACCTTGTATGACACCTTTTCCTGTTATAGGAAACTGTTGGTAGTAAAAACCAGATATAAGTTTTGTATTATAGCTCATATCGTTTATACTAAACTCAGTCGGACATCCAAACATAATGAAACCTGCT